GGCGGAGGGAGCAGCACCCCCCGGGGGCGGGGAGGACTCCCATCCACTGCGGCCGGCCGGCGGTGCTCAGGGCTGGCGGCGGCCTCGCCCTCGCCTGTCTCCGCCGGGCAGCGTCCCCTGAGCCACCGGGCCCCGCGTGGCGATGGTTGGCCTCCTGGGAGTCTCCTCCTGGGGTAGCTGTCCCCCCGCACCCCGGGGATAATGCAGGTGCGTCTGTCCCAGCTCCAGCCCAGGGCCTGGGGTGCTCAGTGAAAACGCTGTGGGAGCAACGGGCAATGAGACGGGATCTGAGGCTCCGGACGGCAGGGCACCGTTAGCAGCGCTTCTCAGAGCTGGTCCCCAAGCTGCAAGCTCACAGCGAGATTCCCGTCCAACACCCAGGACGCCCGCCGTGACCCCGAGACACCTGCCGTGACCCCGAGACGCCCGCCGTGACCCTGAGACACCTGCCGTCACCCCGCGACACCCGCCGTGACCCCAAGACACCTGCCGTGACCCTGAGACGCCCGCCGTGACCCTGAGACACCTGCCGTGACCCCGTGACACCCGCCGTGACCCTGAGACACCTGCCGTGACCCCGAGACACCTGCCGTGACCCTGAGACGCCCGCTGTGACCCCGAGACACCTGCCGTGACCCCGCGACACCACTGTGACCCCGAGACACCTGCCATGACCCTGAGACACTTGCCGTGACCCCAAAACACTGCTGTGACCCCAAGACGCCCGCCGTGACCCCGAGACGCCCGCCGTGACCCCGACACCCGTCGTGACCCCAAAATACCCGCCGTGACCCTGAGACACCACTGTGACCCTGAGACACCCGCCGTGACCCCGCGACACCACTGTGACCCTGAGACACCCGCTGTGACCCCAAAACACCTGCCGTGACCCCGAGACGCCCGCCATGACCCCAAAATACCCGCCGTGACCCTGAGACACCACTGTGACCTCGAGACACCCGCCGTGACCCCGAAACACCCGCCATGACCCCGCAGAACTGCCCTTAGACCGCGGGTGGGCATGGTCTTGGCCTCTCCTGTCACCACCCGGCAAGAAGCTGATGGACATGGCGGGCCTGCTTCGCCCAGAAACCGCACACCTTGTCCTGCGCGTCAGGGCTGGGCCGCACAGGAGGGCCTGGTCCAGTTAGTTCCGGAGAAAGGAAGTCGTCAGGACTGGGCCGGCTCAGTGGTTGAACCAGGAGGTCACCGTTTAATTCCCGGTCAGGGCACAGGCCCGGGTTGCCAGCTTGATCCCCAGTGGGGGGCGTGCAGGAGGCGGGCAATCAATGATTCTCTCATCATTGATGTTTCCATCTCTCTCTCCCTCTCACTTCCTCTCTGAAATCAATAAAAATATATTAAAAAATAAAATAAAACCACCGTACCCAGCTTACAATGACTCAGCAAATAATAACAATGGGTGATACTAGAAACGGTTAGCATTTATGGAGCGCTTACTACCCATAAGGCACTTGGCTAAGCCCTTTGTAGGATTGACTCTTGGACTCCATTGCCATTATTTTATTTTCCCCCTTTTACAGATGAAGAAACTGTGCTGCATAGCAGGTTAGGGAGCTCGCTTATGGTCACACAGCAAGTCTGAACCAGACTGCAACACAGGCGGCCTGACTGCAAACCTGTACACGTATGTAGCATGAGCTCAGTGTTTGGGGAATGAGTGAGAGATGGATGGGTGGATGGAAGTGAGGGAGGGAGGAAGGCAAGAAGGGAGGGAAGAAGTGATGGGAGGGTGGATGGATGGATGGATGGATGAATGGTTGGTTGGACGGACGGTAGATGGCTGGTTGGATGGATAGATGGATGGATGATAGATGGATGAATGGTTGGTTGGACGGATGGTAGATGGCTGGTTGGATGGATGGATGGATGGATGGATAGATAAATGATGGGTGGATGAATGATGGATGGATGGATGGATGGATGGATGGATGTTTGGCAAGATGGATGGGTGAATGGACAGATAAATGATGGATGAATGAATGGTTGGTTGGATGGATGGTGGATGTATGGTTGGATGCATGGATAAATGATGGATGGATGGATAGGTGGATGAATGGTTGGTTGGATGGATGGTAGGTAGATGATTAGATGGATGGTAGGTGGGTGGTTGGATAAATGACAGGTGGTTGCTGGGTGAAAATAAAGAACAGAAGCGGTTCCTGTGGGTCAAATCCAGCCTGGCCCCCGCATCCCTGAGCAGCAGCACTGAGGGGCACAGATGTGGCCGGGATGGACCAGGGCTGCACCCAGAGCTGCAGGGCACCTGTGTGGTGGGGGCAGGCGCTGCCGTTACCGTTACAGTCGGGCCAGGGAGTCCTGGTGGTGACAGATGACCCCAGCTGAGCCTCCCGCCCTCCCTCACAGCCGCTGTCCGGGCTGTAGCGCACGGAATCCCACAGCCTGAGACCTGGTCGGGCTGAGCTGGTGACTGTCCCTGGGGTCTGAGCTGCCTATGCATGCCCCCCCCCCCATGCCCCAGGCGGGCCTGGGAGCCCAGCCCAGGTGAGGACCAGCTCTCCAAGGCCAGGAACCGGTTGGGGGCTGAGTTAGCTCTTGACCGCCATCTCTCGGTTGGCTGCTAACAAAGCCATTTCCGCATCTACTGAGGCAGTAATGGACATCAGGGTGGCTGATGGCTGTGAGCTTCCTGGGAGGGGCAGAGAGGGTCGTCGCTGCTGAAGGCTGGCAATTACACTGCCCTGGGAGCCCGCAAGCCGCCTGCTGGGCACCCGTATGGGGGGCCCACTGCTGAGGAGCCCTAACTCCCTGGGGTATAAACACGGGCCGTTTTTCCAGTCTCTGCACCGTGAGGCCCTGCCTCACCCCTGCGCTTGCCCACAGCGGCCCTTACCCTGAGCGGTGAGTCAGGCTCCCCCTGACTCACCGCTGTTCGATGCTGTTACTCCGGGGTTGGCAAGGCCGGTCGCTGTGTGGTCTCTACACATCGGACTCCCCTGGGGCCCCGAGTGGCATGAACCCACAGGATGTGTCCCCGAGGCCCTGCTTACTCACTCACGGCCCGGCCGCGTGGCAGGGCCTCCCTGCTTAAGGCTGAGATCGCCGGGAGGCGTGGATGGGGGGTGGTGGCGTTTGTCTCTCCGTCCATCCTCTCACGCGTGGGCACTCCCGCCTCTGGCTGTCATGAGTGACGCTGGGGTGCAGGAGTCTGTTCCAGGCCCCCTCCCACTTTGGGGTGTGTTCCCAGAAGCAGGATGGCGGGGTCACGTGGTAGGTCCCTGTAAGCCTTTTGAGCACCCCCACACGGTTCCCCACGGCGGCTGCTGCCTCGCATTCCCGCCAGCAGGGCCCGGGCTCAGTGTCCCCGCGTCCTTGCCACACCTGGTCTGTGTTCCATAAAGCCACTCCCGCTGGGCGTGCGGGGGCCTCGCGCGGTACAGAGGGCTGCCAGCCGAGGGCCGCTGCGGTCACACGGGCGTTTGTCAGCAGCTCTGGCCACGGGGTGGACGCAGGGAGCCTGGGGCCGGAGGCTGTGGCAGGACATGGGAGAACAGGCGTGTGAGAGCACGGGATGTGGGGAGAACAGGTGTGTGAGAGCACGGGACGCGGGAGAACAGGCGTGTGAGAGCGCGGGATGCAGGAGAACAGGCGTGTGAGAGCGCAGGATGTGGGGAGAACAGGCATGTGAGAGCATGGGACGCGGAAGAACAGGCGTGTGAGAGCACAGGATGTAGGGAGAACAGGCATGTGAGAGCGTGGGATGCGGGGAGAACAGGCGTGTGAGAGCGCGGGATGCGGGGAGAACAGGCGTGTGAGAGCGCAGGATGTGGGGAGAACAGGCATGTGAGAGCGTGGGATGCGGGAGAACAGGCGTGTGAGAGCGTGGGATGCGGGAGAACAGGCGTGTGAGAGCGCGGGATGTGGGGAGAACAGGCGTGTGAGAGCGCGGGATACAGGAGAACAGGCGTGTGAGAGCGCAGGATGTGGGGAGAACAGGTGTGTGAGAGCACAGGACGCGGGAGAACAGGCATGTGAGAGCGCGGGACGCGGGAGAACAGGCGTGTGAGAGAGCGGGATGTGGGGAGAACAGGCGTGTGAGAGCACAGGACGCGGGAGAACAGGCATGTGAGAGCACAGGACGCGGGAGAACAGGCATGTGAGAGCGCGGGAAGCGGGAGAACAGGCGTGTGAGAGTGCGGGATGTGGGGAGAACAGGCGTGTGAGAGCGCGGGATACAGGAGAACAGGCGTGTGAGAGCACGGGATGTGGGGAGAACAGGCGTGTGAGAGCATGGGACGCGGAAGAACAGGCGTGTGAGAGCATGGGATGTAGGGAGAACAGGTGTGTGAGAGCGCGGGATGTGGGAGAACAGGCATGTGAGAGCGTGGGATGCGGGAGAACAGGCGTGTGAGAGCGCGGGATGTGGGGAGAACAGGTGTGTGAGAGCACAGGACGCGGGAGAACAGGCATGTGAGAGCGCGGGACGCGGGAGAACAGGCGTGTGAGAGTGCGGGATGTGGGGAGAACAGGCGTGTGAGAGCGCGGGATGCGGGAGAACAGGCGTGTGAGAGCGTGGGATGTGGGGAGAACAGGCGTGTGAGAGCGCGGGACGCGGGAGAACAGGCGTGTGAGAGCGCGGGATGCGGAGAGAACAGGCATGTGAGAGTGCGGGATGCGGGAGAACAGGCATGTGAGAGTGCGGGATGCGGGAGAACAGGCATGTGAGAGCATGGGATGCGGGGAGAACAGGCGTGTGAGAGCGTGGGACGCAAGAGAACAGGCGTGAGAGAGTGAGGGATGCGAGGAGCTGCCCCTCCCAGGAAGCTCGCAGCTCACACCCCGCGGTCCAGACCTGCCAGCCTCGCCCAGACCGTGTCCGTCCCTCCCTGGTCCTTTATTGACGTTGGGGGTGGGAAGGCCACTGCGTGGAGTGGCTCTGTGCTGCGTGGGTTTGGCCAAGCCGAGGCTCAGCCGGGCGTGGGTGCCCGGGGACGAGCGACGGGGTCCCAGAGCCACAGTCAGAAGGACTTCCTACTGATGGCAGAGGGGCCCTCTTCCTTGTAGTCGTCACTGCTGACCCACATGTCCTTGAAGGTAGAGAGTGAGCACAGCACGGAGCCGCCCATCCAGGCACTGTACACGGAGCAGGGGCAGGTGGACACCTGGAGGGGAGGGGCAGAAGGCGGGGGCAGAGGCCAGAGAGCGGGAGAAACCAGAATCAATACTATCCTAAATCGGGGGGCACACGCCCGGGCGGCGCAGCTCAGTGGTTGAGCGTCGACCAGGAGGTCACGGTTCGATTCCTGGTCAGGGCACAGGCCCAGGTTGCAGGTTTGATCCCCAGTGGGGGGCGTGCAGGAGGCAGCTGATCCATGATTCCCTCTCCTCATGGATGTTTCTCTCTCTCTCCCTCTCTCTTCCTCCCTGAAATCAATAAACATATATTTAAAATGAAATAAGTTGGGGGGATCCAGGACTCGGCTACTGACCCAGAAACACTGGATCTAAAGCAGTGTGAATACGTGGACTCAGAGGAGCCCTGCTCTTCCTCACGGAAAGCAGAGAGAGAACTACATAACCAAACACCTGGAAAAGAGAGATCATGGGGAGACAAAGAAACAGTCCACATATGAAAGAAAAACAGGCATCACCAGAAAAGGAAGTAAACGAAATGGAGGCAATGGAGGCAAGCAACCTGTCAGAGAAAGAATTCAGAGAAACGGTCATAAGGTGGATGAAAAGAATGGAAGACAAATTCTACAATATGTGTAAGAACCAAGAGGAAATGAAGAAGAACCAAGAAGAAATGAAAAATGACATCACTGCTATAAAGAACTCAATAGAAAGCATCAACAGTAGATTAGAAGAAGCAGAGGACCGCATCAGTGAGCTAGAAGACAAGGTAGGAAAAAATACCCAAGCAGAGCAGCTTCTAGAAAAAAAAATTAAAAGGCAGGAGGAGAGCCTAAGAGAACTTTGGGACAACACAAAATGAAACAACATCCGCATAATAGGGGTGCCAGGAGAGGAAACTGAGCAAGGAATAGAAAACCTGTTTGAAGAAATAATGACAGAAAACTTCCCTGATATAGGGAAGAAAAAGCTCACACAAATCCAAGAAGCTCACAGAGTCCCAAACAAAATGAACCCCAAAAGACCAATGCCAAGGCAAATGATAATTAAATTGGCAAACACCAACGCCAAGGCACATTATAATTAAATTGGCAAACACTAAAGACAGAGCAAGAATCTTAAAAGGGGCCAGAGACAAAAAGTTACCTACAAAGGATCCCCCATCAGGCTAGCAACTGATTTCTCAACAGAAACGCATCAGGCAAGAAGGGAATGGAATGAAATATACAAAGTCATGCAAAGGAAGGGTCTGAATCCAAGAATACTGTACCTAGCAAGGCTATCAATCAAAATTGAGGGTGAAATCAGGAGCTTCACAGACAAAAAAGGACTACGGGAATTTATTACCACCAAACCAGCAATGCAAGAAATGCTAAAGGGTCTGCTGTAAAAAGAAAAAATAGGAAATGAAGAAGGAACACAGGGGTAAAGAATAAAAATGGCGACAAACAAGTATCTATCAATAATAACTTTAAATGTAAATAGATTAAATGCCCCAATCAAAAGACATAGGGTAACTGAGTGGATAAGAAAACATGACCCATATATCTGCTGTCTACAGGAAACCCACCTCAGAAAAAAAGACACACACAGACTGATGGTGAAGGGATGGAAAAAGGTTTTTCAGGCGAATGGAAACGAAAAAAAAGCTGGGGTAGCAATACTTATATCTGACAAATTAGATCTCAAAGTGAAGGACATAAAAAGAGATAAGGAAGGGCACTTCATAATACTAAAGGGAGCAATCCAACAAGAAGAAATAACTCTGGTAAACATATACGCACCAAATATAGGAGTACCCAAATACATCAGAAAACTTCTGGAGGGGATCAAGGGAGAGATTGACAGCAATACAATCATAGTAGGGGATTTTAACACCCCACTATCACCATTGGACAAATCCTCTAAACAAAAAATCAGCAAAGAAACATCAATCCTAAATGACTCACTAGATCAGATAGAATTAATTGACATCTTCAGAACATTTCATCCCAAAGCCACAGAATATACATTCTTCTCAAGTGCACATGGGTCATTTTCAAAGATAGACCATATATTGGGTCACAGGCAAAGTCTCTTCAAATTCAAGAAGATAGAAATCATATCAAGCATCTTCTCAGATCACAAAGGCATAAAACTGGAAATCAACTACAATAAAAACAATCCAAAAAAATCAAACACATGGAGACTAAACAGCATGCTATTAAACAATGACTGGGTTACCAGAGAGATCAAAGAAGAAATAAAAAACACCATGGCAACAAACACAACAATCCAAAACCTATGGGACACAGCGAAAGCAGTCTTGAGCGGGAAGTTCATAGCTCTACAAGCCTACTGCAAAAAAAAAAAAAGAAAAAAAAAAAAAAAAAAGAAACAATGATAATAAATTACTTAACCCTACAACTCAAAGAGTTAGAAAAAGAGCAACAAGAAAAGCCCAGTGTAAGCAGAAGGAAAGAAATAATAAAGATCAGAGCGGACATAAACGACAAAGAGACCAAAAAAATAATACAAAAGATCAACAAAACCAAGAGCTGGTTCTTTGAAAGGATAAAGAAGATTGATAAACATCTAGCCAGGCTCACCAAGAAACAAAGAGAGAGGACCCAAATAAACAAAATCAGAAATGAAAGAGGAGAAATAACAACAGACCCCACAGAAATACAAAGGATTGTTTAAAAAAATACTATGAACAGCTCTACTCCAACAAACTAGACAACCTGGAGGAAATGGACATATTCCTAGAAAAATACAACCTTCCAAAACTTAATCAGGAAGAATCTAAAAATCTCAATAGGCCAATAACTATGGAAGAAATTGAAGCAGTAATCAAAAAGCTTCCAGCAAACAAAAGCCCAGGACCAGACGGCTTCACAGGGGAGTTTTACCAAACATTCAAGGAAGAACTAAAACCTTTCCTCCTCAGACTATTCCAAAAAATCCAAGAGGAAGGAATACTTCCAAGCTCATTCTATGAAGCCAGAATCACCCTAATAACAAAACCAGACAAAGACAACACAATGAAAGAGAATTACAGACCAATATCCCTCATGAACATAGATGCCAAAATCCTCAACAAAATCCTAGCAAATCGGATCCAGCAGTACATCAGAAAGATCATACACCATGATCAAGTAGGATTTATCCCAGGGATGCAAGGATGGTACAATATCCGCAAATCAATAAACGTGATACATCACATAAACAAATTGAGAGATAATAATCACATAGTCATATCAATTGATGCAGAAAAAGCATTTGACAAAATCCACCACCCTTTCTTGATAAAAACTCTCAGCAAGGTAGGAATAGAAGGATCATACCTCAACATAATAAAAGCCATATATGACAAACCCACAGCCAACATCATACTCAATGGGCAAAAACTAAAACCATTTCCCCTAAGAACAGGAACAAGACAGGGATGCCCCCTCTCACCACTCCTGTTCGACATAGTACTGGAACTACTAGCTGTTGTGATCAGACAAGAAGAAGAAATAAAAGGCATCCAAATTAGAAAAGAAGAAGTAAAACTGTCCTTATTTGCAGATGACATGATACTGTACATAGAGAACCCTAAAGACTCCATCAAAAAATTATTAGACTTAATAAATGAATTCGGCAATGTAGCAGGATACAAAATAAACGCCAAGAAATCTATGGCATTTCTTTACACCAATAGTGAACTTACAGAAAGTGAGACTAAAAAAGCAATCCCATTTACCATCGCACCAAAAAAATTAAGATACCTAGGAATAAATTTAACTAAGGAGGTAAAAGACTTATATGCGAAAAACTGCAGGACACTGAAAAAAGAGATAGAGGAAGACATAAACAGATGGAAGAACATACCGTGTTCATGGATTGGTAGAATCAACATCATCAAAATGTCCATATTACCCAAAGCAATCTATAGATCCAATGCAATCCCCATTAAAATACCAACGGCATATTTCACAGATCTAGAACGAACGCTCCAAAAATTCATCTGGAATAAAAAAAGACCTCGAATAGCTATAGCGATCCTGAGAAAGAAAAACAAAGTAGGTGGGATCTCAATACCAGATACCAAACTGTATATTACAAAGCCACTGTTCTTAAAGCAGCATGGTACTGGCACAAGAACAGACATATAGATCAATGGAATAGAATAGTGAACCCAGAAATTGACCCGAACCACTATGCCCAATTAATATTCGACAAAGGAGGCAAGAGCATACAATGGAGTCAAGACAGTCTCTTCAATAAATGGTGTTGGGAAAATAGGACAGATACATGCAAAAAGATGAAACTAGACCACCAACTTACGCCATACACAAAAATAAACTCAAAATGGATAAAAGACTTAAACATAAGACGGGAAACCATAAAAATACTAGAGGAATCCACAGGCAGCGAAATTGCAAACATATGCTGAAGGAATTTCTTCTCTGATACTGCTCCTAGGGCAATGGAAACTAAAGAGAAAATAAACAAATGGGACTACATCAAAATAAAAAGCTTTTGCACAGCAAAGGAAACCATCAACAAAACAACAAGAAGACCCACTACATGGGAGAACATATTTGCCAATGATACCACCAATAAGGGTTTAATCTCCAACATTTACAAGGTACTCATGAAACTTAATAATAGGAAGATAAACAATCCAATCAAAAAATGGGCAATGGACCTAGATAGACACTTTTCGAAAGAGGACATACAGAAGGCCAAGAGACATATGAAAACATGCTCAAAGTCACTCATCATCCAAGAGATGCAAATCAAAACGACAATGCGGTACCATCTCACACCTGTCAGACTGGCTATCATCAACAAATCAACAAACGACAAGTGCTGGCGAGGATGTGGAGAAAAAGGAACCCTCCTGCACTGCTGGTGGGAATGCAGACTGGTGCAGCCACTGTGGAGAACAGTATGGAGTTTCCTCAAAAAACTAAAAATGGAACTCCCATTTGACCCAGTGATCCCACTTCTAGGACTATATCCCAAGAAAACCAGAAACACCAATCAGAAAGGATATATGCACCCCTATGTTCATAGCAGCACAATTCACCATAGCTAAGATTTGGAAACAGCCTAAGTGCCCATCAGCAGATGAGTGGATTAGAAAACTGTGGTACATCTACACGATGGAATACTATGCTGCGGTAAAAAAGAAGGAACTCTTGCCTTTTGCAACAGCATGGATGGAACTGGAGTGCATTATGCTAAGTGAAATAAGCCAGTCGGAGAAAGATAAATACCACATGATGTCACTCATTTGTGGAATATAGAGACTGATGAACAGGGACAGATCCAAAGACAGAGAAACAGCGATCAGACTATTAATCCCCAGAAGGAAAGTAGGGGAGGGTGGGGGTAAGGGGAAGAGATCAACCGAAGGACTTGTATGCATGCATATAAGCCAAACCAATGGACATGGACAACAGGGGGATGGGAGCATGAGTGCGGGGGGAGGTTGGGGGTTAATGGGGGGATGAGGACATATTTGTAATACCTTAACCCATAAAGAAATTTTAAAAAAAATAAGTTGGGGGCACAAAATACCGATTCCTGAATGGGCTTCCTCCCCCTGTCCAGATGTTGAACAGTCCACGTCCCCTGCCCCTCGCTGCCCCCCTGCCACCTGGCCGTGGCCTTGGGCGAGTGCCTGGCGCTGGGCTAACCCCACCCTCGCTCTCCCCGACCCCTGCCTGCTCTGGCCACCAGCACCCCTCGCCCAAATCACAGCATCACTTCCGCCTGCATCCACAGCCTGCCTCCCATCTGACAGCTGGCCGACCCGCGCCCAAGCCCCTGCTGGGTCGGGTCCCTGCTGGGTCGGGCCGTTGCTCTGGATCGGCCATTGCTCTGCTCAGAAGGTCCCGTTCGCTCTGAGCTGCTCTACCCACTGTGCTCTCAGCCCCACCAGCCCCTCCCAGCGCCTCCAGACAGCAGCCTCTGGGCTCCTGCAGGTGCGGTTCCCTCTGCCCAGTGTGGTTCCCGCCACCCCCACGGCCTCACTCCTGCAGGCATTTCCTCACCGGCACCTCCCAGGAGCCCCCACCCCTCCTCCTCCCCCCCCCCCCGCCCACCGCTGGTATCGCCCTGTGATGCTGACGTCAGGGGTCAGGGGTCAGGGGTCACAATGGACTTGCTCTGCCCATCGTGTTCCCCCACTGGACGGTGAGCTCCAGGGGGCGCCCCTTCTGTGGGCTGTGCCCCATGCGCCGGGCCAGCACCTGGCACCTCAGAGGCTTCCGGAAATGCCTGCCCCGCGGGGGACGGGAGGACCCACCTTCACCTTAGTCCTCGGGGACACCAGGGCGGACAGCTCCCTCTGCATGCGGGCCCGCAGGCTGGGGGAGGAGCCGGTGCCTCCGGACAGCAGCACGCTCCCGAAGAGGGCTCTCTGCTGGTTGGCGCTGCAGGAGCTGACGCTGCGGAAGGCGAGCATGTGGGCGCCCAGGCTGTGCCTCCCTGGGGGCGGGAGCGGGAGGGGGCTGGGAGTGGCCATCGTGTGGGGGCGCAATCACACCTGACAAATCAAATACCAGCCCCCGTGGGAGTCCGCGGCTATGAAAGGGGGGAGTGTGGGGGGTGGGTTACAGGTTGCAACCCACATACAAGGTCAGCAAAGCGGCGGGCACACAGTAGGTGCTTCCTAAGTGACAGCTGGCTCCGGAGGCACTTTTGAATGGGGCGCAGACTCGCTACCACTTGCTACTCAAAGCGCAGCCCTCTCCCCGCTGCCCCCGCTCCTTCTCTGGCACGGCATCTGCGTGTCCGTGTCTGCCTGTCCATGTCCGCCTGTCCGTGTCCGCCTGTCCGTGTCCGCCTGTCCGTGTCTGCCTGTCCGTGTCCGCCTGTCCATGTCCGCCTGTCCACGTCCGCCTGTTCACATCCGCCCGTCCACATCTGCCCGTCCGTGTCTGCCTGCCCGTGCCCACCTGACCACGCCCTCCCCGCTCACCTATGAGGTCCGGCTGGAAAAGCACCTCCATGCAGAGGAACATCTCCTGCCCGAGGTCGATCTCCCGGCCGTCCGGCAGCTGGTGCGTCCATGCCCGGGTCAGCAAGGGGGCTGCCGCCTTCTCCTTGTCAAAGTTCAAAGCCACATAGCAGCACTTCTCTTTCAGGTCCCGGATGTACTCCCGGTCGCCTGGGAGGAGGGAGCCGGGGGGAGGAGGGATGAAGGCGAGGTGGCTCACAGTCGGCCACTCCTCGCGGTAGGACACTGTTTCTACTTTGGTCTCAGATCCCAGCCCCTCTCGGTGAGATGCGTGCTGGGGCCTGGGTTTGTGGGCCAGAAAGCAGAATAGTCATGCCTGAACGAGGAGGACATGTCTGAAAAATGTCCGGCCAGCGTGGCTCAGGGGTTGAGCGTCGACTTATGAATCCGGGGATCACAGTTCGATTCCTGGTCTGGGCCCAGGCCCGGGCTGCAGGCTGAAGCCCCAGTGTGGGGCGTGCAGGAGGCAGCCGATCCATGATTCTCTCTCCTCATTGATGTTTCTCTCTCTCTCCCTCCCCCTTCCTCTCTGAATTCAGTATATATGTATATAATATACATTTTTAAAGAAACTTTTTTGAGGGTTAATCCTCACCTGAGGATATTTTCCCATTGATCTTTTAGAGAGAGTGGAAGAGAGAGTGAAAGACAGAGGGAAATTTCGATGTGAAAGAAACACATAGATTGGTTGCCTCCTGCACGAGCCCCGACCAGGGCCCGGGCAGGGGAGGAACCTGCAACCATGGTACATGCCCTTGACTGGAATCGAACCTGGGACCCTTTGGTCCACAGGCCAACGCTCTATTCACTGAGCCAAACTGGCTAGGGCAAAAATATAAATATTTTTTTAAAATATATTTTTATTGATTTCAGAGAGGAAAGGAGAGGGAGAGAGAGATAGAAACATCAATGATGAGAATCACTGATTGGCTGCCTCCTGCACAACCCCTACTGGGGATTGAGCCTGCAACCTGGGCATGTGCCCTTAACCAGAATCGAACACAAGACCCTTCAGTCTGCAGGCCCACACTCTATCCACTGATCCAATTCAGCTAGGGCAAAAAATATACATTTTTTATAAAGATAAAAGCCCTAGTTGATTTGGCTCAGTCGATAGAGCTTTGGCCCACGGACTGAATGGTCCTGGGCTTGATTCTGTTCAAGGGCATGTACCTCAACTGCAGGCTCAATTCTTGGTCCTAGTCAACCTTCCTAAACCTCTTCCTCTTGCATAGAGATCATTGTTCCCCTGGTGGCAGGAAGCAATGAGAAAATGCATGTAAGATGTTTACTCAACCCAGTACCTGTATAGGACAAGTACTCTGCAAACCTTAAATCATCATAAGGGTCAGCACCCCCAATACCACCACCATCATCATCATCATTGTCACCACCACCATCAACACCATCATCACCACCACCAACACCATCATCATCATCAACACCATCATCACCATCATGAACACCATCACCACCACCATCAACACCACCATCATCACCACCATCACCACCATCAACACCACCATCATCACTACCATCAACACCATCATCACCATCATGAACACCATCACCACCACCATCAACACCACCATCATCACCATCATCACCACCATCAACACCACCATCATCACTACCATCAACACCATCATCACCATCATCACCATCACCATCACCATCACCACCACCACCACCACCATCACCATCACCATCATCACCACCATCATCACCATCACCACCATCACAACCATCATTACCACCATCGACACCATCATCACCATCATCACCATCATCATCACCATCAACATCACCATCACCACCATCATCATCATGACTGTCATCGTCAATCAGTTAAGTGTCCGTGGACATAGATGGGTTGTTTCTGGAACGTGGATGATGGTTAAGCAGCCTTCGCGTCAGGAACTGAGGGCTGTAAGTTGAACAAGCCAGAAAGGGTATTACCGCGGGGCCCCTACCTGTGCCCACCAGAGAGGTCCCCTTCTGGGACAGCAGCTGCATGAGGTACAGGGTTATGTCCTGGCCTGCCACCTCCATCTGCATGGTCGACTGGCGCAGTGGGTAGCCCTCAATGATGGGCACAAAGTGTGTCATCCCGTCTCCAGATTCAATGATTGTTCCTACGCAAGAGAGCACACAGGCATCGTAAAGTGGGGGGCATGGCAGCCCTCATCACCCATCAGCTCGGCGGGAAGAGATGGCGAAGGGGGTAGTCCTGGGAGGGGAAGGCCGAGGGTCTGGGGAGCAAACTGTCCCCCGGAGGGAGTGGCTGGGCTGGAGGACTTCTGGGTCAGACCAGGACTGACTCCGCTGGACAGGAAGCCCAGGTGTCCTTCTCAAAGCGGACACACAGGGCCCAGCAGCGGCTGCCAAGGAGGCGGAGGCGGGAGCAGAGAGGCGTGCTCTCCACCCTCCTCCCGTGGGGACCGGCGGGGCGATGCGGGCGCAGGGACCGTCGGGAAGGCCTGGGATGGCGCAGGGGCGGCAGGCGAGGAGGAGGCACGCATCTGGGCGAGCGGGGAAACGGGAGTCCCGCTGCTCGCAGGAGGGAGGGCGTGGGGCCTTGTGTGAAGTGGCTTCTCCTGAACTGGCCACAGCTGCCCAGGGCCTGGGTCATTGGCCTCTTTCACCTGTTGAGTCTGGTAACTGAGAACTTCAAGTTTAAAGGAAGCAAAATGGCCCGGCCGGCGTGGCTCAGGGGTTGAGCGTCGACCTATGAACCAGGAGGTCACAGTTCGATTCCTGGTCGGGGCACAGGCCCGGGTTGCGGGCTTGATCCCCAGTGGGGGGTGTGAGGAGGCAGCCGGCCCATGATTCTCTCTAGTCATTGGTGTTTCTCTCTCTCTCTCTCTCCCTCTCCCTTCCTCTCTGAAGTCAATAAAAATATATTAAAAAACAAATAAAGGAAGCAAAGGCAACATGAGTCCACGCCCAGCTAAGCTGGGACCCGTCGTGGGTCCCCCCTCCAACCCGAACCACCTGAAAACGAGGACAAAATACAGGAAACGACTGTGGTCCAGACCCTGGGACCGGGCGACAGAGGCCAGCGGCCCCCGAGAGGCAGCGTCACGGAAGGCAGCCCCTCACCCTCACGCACACGCCAAACCCCCGGCACAGCTGCAGCAAACGGGACCCGGCAATTCACCAAAGGACAGCAGGCCCCGGCCAGGGGCTACACCTCGAGGATGCAGGGCCGTGTAGCTGTCAACAACCCATCACTGTCGCCGGCCGGTTGCTCAGTGGTTAGAGCGCCAGTCTGCCCACCGAAGGGTCACAGGTCCCATTCCAGGTCCAGGGCCAGTCCCTGGGTGAGAGGCTTGACCCCTGGCCCCGGGTCGGGCATATGTGGGAGGCAAACACTCGATGAGTCTCTCTCACATCGATGTTCCTCTCGCTCTCTCTGAACCCCTCCCCTCCTTCTACTTGCTCTAAAAATTCATGAAGAAGCCTGGCCAGTGTGGCTCAGTGGTTGAGTGTTGAGGGGAGCACAGGGCTGGACCAGGAGGGGTGGGCAGCGGAGGGCGGGGGGGGTGGGCTCCGGGGTTCCCGGGGACCACTCACCCGAGGTCAGGCCGGAGGAGAAGAGAGACAGGACCCCTTGGTTGACCAGGTACAGGGCGGGCACGTTGAAGGTCTCGAACAGGATCTGTGGGGAGGATGGGGCGGCGCTGCAGCCAGGCCGGGCAGCGGGCCACCTTCTCTGCTGCGAGCCTCCTGCTTGCGGGGGCGGCAGGGGGCGCGTGGGGCTGGCTCCCCGGAGAGATGCAGACAAGGGGTCAGGGGCAGGGCCTCGGCACCCTGCCTGGCGCCCCGCCCCACCCGCTCCTGGCTGTTTCCAGTTTGTGAACTGGGCTCACACATCCCCGGTGCCCTGCGGGCACAGAGCGCGAGGGACGATGCTGAGCCAGTGCCTCCACGAAGCCGCTGTCCCTGCTGCTCTGGGGGAGGGGGGGGTGTTGGGGGGAGGGGGACGGGCCGACATCCCCCAAATCCCCACGAGACTCGGGGCGACTCGCTTGCTTCCTAATAACGGTAATAACAAAAGCTCAAGCCGTGTCCTGGCCACTGGCTCCGTTGGTTGGAGAGTGGCCTTGTGCACCCAGAGGTTGTGGGTTCGATTCCCAGTCAGGGCACAGGCGAGGTGGCAGGTTTACTCCCTGGTCTGCGGGAGGCGGCCTATCGATGTTTCTCTCACATCAATGTTTCTCTCCCTCCCTCCCTCTCGCTCTAATATCAATAAAAACATATTGATGTCTTTTCCTTGGTTGAGGATTTCAAAAAGCTGACAACCGTGTGTTAAGTGTACACCAGACGCTCAGTCCCCTGAGTGGCGGGGTCAGAAGGTGCTGACTGCGGGAGGGACAGGGTTGGGGGGAGGGATGGGGCAGGAGGGACAGAGGAGGACGGACGGACAGGGAAACAGGCCCTTGCGTTTCCTGCTGTGGTGACCCCCCCTCAGGGCTGTGACATTGGACCCCACCTTGTCCATGTGAGAGACTAGGGGACAGGAATGCGAGGGAGCAGGTGGCCGAGGGGCATGGACTTGGGCCGCTGGACACGGCGGGGCTGGGGCAGGCGAAGCTGGCGGGGGGAGGTCTCTCCTGCCAGAGGGTGACACGGGGCGGCCCTCAGTGTGACCGCCGCTGAGGGGGCGCCAGGACGCGGGGCCAGGCGGGGCCCTGCTGCTTCTTGATCGGCGCGTCCAAGTCCTCGCGGGAGAAGCTGAGAGAGTGACCGGCAGGGGCACCAGCGGCCCCTCCGCCCCCGGCCCGCCTCCTGCCCGCCCGCCCGCCCCTCACCTGGGCCGTCCTCTCTTTGCTGGCCTTGGGGTTCGAGGGCGGCTCTGTGAGCAGCAAGGGGTGCTGCTCCGGGGCCGCACGGAGCACCTGGTAGAAGGTGTGGTGCCAGATCTGGGGGGACACGGGGAGGGCAGCTGTGAGCACAGTCTGGGCACCTCCTGTGGACGTGACCCTGACAGGACGGGGAGCATGTGCCCGGGTCAAGGGCCTGGTGGTGTCCCTGGAGGGCAGTCCCGGCCCTGAGACCATGGGGAGCCCAGGACTGGGGGGGGGGGGGGCAGGAGGCAGCAGAGCGCCCAGGTCAGGCCCCGCAGAAGTCCCCACCCTCCGCCCCCAGGTGGCGGGCAGGCGCCTGGGCCTCCTGAGCCCATTTCCTGTCGGCCAGGCTGCGATGATGTCCGTGGGGCCTGTCTATTCGTGTCCTGCAGCCACATCACCAAGCCCCGCAGAGCAGGCGGCTTAAACCACAGGCATGTGCTGCTGGAGGCCGAGACCCAGGTGTGGGCAGGGCCGGGCCCTGGAGACGCCCAGGGAGCTGGGTGGCGGGGACCTCCCTCCCGGCCCGAGGCCATGGGCTGGGCCGCCAGCAGGGCCACGCCTACCTTCTCCATGTGGTCCCAGTTGGTGACCGTGGCCCGTGAGAGGGGGTACACCAGGTTGAGTTTCTTTCGTTGCTCCTGAACCTCGTCACCGATGAACCAGACTTTCTTGTCCAGCCCCACCATCAGGTCCTGGGAAGGCGGGGACAGGCGTGGGGGGGAGGGAGTGGGGAGGGACCACCTGCGCCGCCCCTGCGTGCATGACCGCTGTCGGCATGGCTCCCGGGCACCCAGGCTCTGTGGCCTCGCAAGCCTGCACCCCGTTTCCAAATAATACCCCTGAGAGGTGTCAGCCAGTGACCCCCAGGGGATGGGACTGCTGCTGCCACTGCGTGGACACGCGTCCTGACCACATCTGGTGGGGGACCCGCCAAGAAGGAGAGGGGGGCGAGGGGACCGTGTGGGGGGCAGGCACCAGCCTCCGCATTCGGGGCGCTGGCGGGAGGGGGCCTCCCGGCTGCTCTCTGGGAGAAGGAACCAGCTACTTGCAGATCCGCCCCATGGTCCCTGCGGGGCTGCCGGGGGGTCCCTGTGGGATCCGGTGCTGCCAGCGCGGCCCTGGCTCTGGGGGATCGGGGAGGCCTACGCCACAGACCTGCTGAAGCAGACAGCATGGGGGTCCAGCCCTCGCCTTCGTCCCCCCTCGCTCCCTGGCTGACCTCGGCCCCACCTGCTCAGAGGGCTCCACAGGCCAGCCCCGTGGGAGGGACGGCTCAGCACCCAGCACCCAGCACCCAGGCAGGACGCCTGCTGTCACTCACGTCTTCGAGGTGCCGGAACTTGCCGAGGACGGTGGGGAAGATGGCCAGGGGCACCTTTGCCCCCGCGAAGCCCACCTTGCTGGAGCCGGAGCCAAAGTCGCAGATGATGGGCACGCTCATGGCGTCCTGGGGCCCCAACAGGGCTGCGGGGAAGACGGACGGGCGTCTGTGCCGAGTGAGGCCTCCACCCGCCGCCGATCTGCCAGCGTGGCCCCGGGCGCGGAGCTCACAGGCGCTGCGTGTGGCCAGGCAGCTGGCTCCCCACACCCGGGGCCGGGCCTGCCGGGCTGAGCCACCCCAGGCTGCTGTGGGCCGTGGCTGGGCAGGGGGACCTTTCCCGTGGCCACTGGCACGGGCCAGGCTGGGGGAGGGAGGCCCATGGTGAGCTCTGGCCTCACAGCCTCCCCCCCACCCCCTCCCTGTTCCTGGCAGGCGTGGCCTGCTCCATGGGGCTCCTCTGAAGCAGCCCCTCGCTCCCCACTCACGGAGCAGGGCTGGCAAGGCCCCAGCCGCCTCTCCCCTCCCCACTCCAGTACCGCCTCCCGGGGCCTGGGCTGGCCTCCTGGCCCCACGTGGACACCACACCCTCCCCTACCCCCTTCCAGTCAACGTTCCCCATGGCTGCACCAGTTTAGAAAACACGACGAAAACAGAGAACAAGGTTATGACCACCCACGGCCCTGCCCCTGCGGTTGCCAGTCATATACATCTATTTAATATATTTGTATTATCTCAGAGAGGAAGGGAGAGGGAGGGAGACAGAAACATCAGTGATGAGAGAGAATCGGGGATCAGCTGCCTCCTGCACGCCCCCCACTGGGGATGGAGCCCACAACCCAGGCCTGTGCCCTGATGGGATTGTGCCATGACCTCCTGGTTCCTAGGTCCACGCTCAAACTCTGAGCCACACCAGCCACCAGCTATATTTGAGTTGGTTTGAAACTTAAACTTAAACCCGTCTGTGTGTCACTTTTTAAAAAGTGATTATGCTCAAAAAGGAATCCATCGCCCTTAACCAAGTCTTGATCACGACCGATGTTTCCTTTAGAAGCGATTTCATTCCTTTTCAGACCGAGAAGGACCCAGGCTCATCACGGAAAATGAGGGGCAAGCCCTGCGGATCCGCCCCGCAGACGCCATTGTGATTGCGGGGAGCGCCCTCCAGTCCTCCGCACAGCGCACTGTGCCCCATGGCCGCGCCCCTCGCCCCTCCCCGCGCTCCACGCCCCTCGCCCAGCCCCCGGCCTCCCGCGCCCCGCGCCCCGCGCTCCACGCCCCTCGCCCAGCCCCCGGCCTCCCGCGCCCCGCGCCCCGCGCCCCGCGCCCCGCGCCCCGCGCCCCGCGCCCCGCGCCCCGCGCCCCGCGCCCCTCCCGTCCCCCGCGCCCCGCGCCCCTCGCCCCTCCCCGCGCTCCACGCCCCTCGCCCAGCCCCCGGCCTCCCGCGCCCCGCGCCCCGCGCCCCGCGCCCTGCGCCCCTCCGGTCCCCGCGCCCAGGCAGCAGGCGCCGCCCTCTCACCACGGGCTCTGAGCACCGCGGCCAGCGCGGAGCTTCTGATGGTCAAGCAGTTGCCGGTCTTGCACCAGGACATCTTCTCTCCCCAGGAAACAATGTCTTAAAGGAGATTCTGGTAGAGTTTAAAGAAACGCTGGAAACTTCGAGCCAAGCAGAGCCGCTAAGAACCACCTGAGAGCCGCCCGCACCTGCCGCCCGCCCGCCAGGGGCAGACCGCCACCTGAAGGCCCGCAGGACTCCGTCCGCCCAGGCGCAGGCCTCTGTCCGGAGCCCCAGCCTCCGTCCGTCCGGGCGCCCTCCCGCCCGCCGCCACCCAACAATCGCCTGTGTGCTGTAACAGCCGGCGGTGCGCCTCCCTCCCGCCCCGGCCCCGCCTCGCTGTGTGGGGGCTGGGGCCCTGCGGGGGACTGTCCCGCGCAGGACCCCGGACCCCGGCCCAGCCAACACCCCAGGCCTCCCCGGGGTCGGGGCCGAGTGGGCTGGCACCTGGGCAGAAGCGCGCAGGTGTCCATCCTAGACAGGCGGGGGGGGGGGGGGGGGGACAGCCCCCTTGCTGGGCGGGGCATCCGCGCGGGGTGCTCCAGGTGTGGGCAGGAGGGGCGCTAGCAGGCCCCCCCACGCCATCTCCACAGACCCTTCAGAATGGCCGCCTGGATGCTGACCGTCACCACCGGGACCAGGCCCAGCTGGACACACCCCCTCTCTCCCCGAGGTCGCTGCGCCGCACCCCCGGCTTCAACAGGGGAGATGCCGGTTGGCATTCTGCCTGGAGAGGCCACAGAGCTCCAGCCTGTGAGCCAGGAGGTCACCATTCGGTCCCGGTCGGCACGTGCCCGCGTCGTGGCTCCATCCCGTGTGTGGGCCGTGCAGGAGGCAGGTGATGCTCTCTCGCCATTGATGTTTCTCCTCTCTCTCTCTCCCCCTTCCTCTCTGAAATCAATAAAAATATATATATTTTTTAAAACACACCCATTAAACGGCACATTAGAAACACCACGGCCAACGGTTTGGCTCAGTGGATAGAGCGTCGGCCTGCGGACGGAAGGGTCCCAGGTTCGATTCCGGTCAAGGGCATGTACCTGGGTTGCGGGCACATCCCCAGTAGGAGATGTGCAGGAGGAAGCTGACCGATGTTTCTCTCTCATCGACGTTTCTAACTCTCTATCCCTCTCCCTTCCTCTCTGTAAAAAAATCAATAAAATATATTTAAAAAAAAAAAAAAAAAGAAAGAAACACCACGACGAGTCAGAGGGAAGGAAGGGCTGGGACCAGAACCCGAGACCAGGTGCCCCCGGGCAGCAGGAGGACCCGGCCGGTGCTGGCCCTTCCCAGGATGGCACTCCCAGCAGAGCCCGGGTGGCCTCTGCGGTTAGGGGTTCGAGCATCATTCATTCCCGTCCACTCACCGTGCCGTGGGCGCCGCCCCTTCGCCAGCCCTGGGACAGGAGCAGGAGGTCGAGGTCAGATCAGGGCCAGGGAGGGAGGGTGGAGAGAGGACAGCTTGGACCTGGGTGCTGCACGTCACCAGCGCGGACAGCGTGAGGCCCACAGACCAAGAGAACGGCCCTCGTCCTCCCCGTGCCTCGGTTTCCCTCCCAAGGAAACAAAGGGCACGTCTCCAGCTCTGAGCAAAAGCCTTTCTGCTGGGCTGTCTCTTCAGAGGTCTCGGGGGCGTGAACTCCCGCAACCTGTCTGCAGGGGAAACGGTGACACAGGCCCAGGGACCCCGGAGCCGCACGCATCAGCGGGGAGCCCTCCCGGCTCCCCGTCCAGCTCCGCTCCATCCGGCCGAGGGCCTCGCCAGGCCTGGCAGGGACTGTGCACTGGGAAGGGTGGGCTGGGCTGCTTCCAGGACACTGGCCGGGGGAGGGAGGACTCCACCTTCTGCAGGGACTGGAACCGGCCAGCAGAGGGCGACAGCCTCTGCTGCCCCCCAAGGCAGGCAGCTGGGCTGGGGGACCACACCCGGTTCCCCGTCAGCAGGGGGAGGGGAGGGGGAGGCTGAGCGAGGGCTCTGGGGCCAGGTGGGCATCCAGCTGCCCTGGGAGGCCTGTGCCGCCTGCCCTCCGGTGGCCGCACTGCGCAGGCCGAGCCCTCCGGGAGCCGGACGGCAGCACAGACTCCGTGCTCATGGCTTTTCCGGGGACGGAGTGCCCACCCGGTGTCTGCGCCCCTGTGTCTACGGGGTCCCTGGAGTTTCAGGGGAGCGCTGGGGGTGCGGTGTGCTACATGGGGGCTCCAGGGCATGAGATGCTGCCACGGAGGTGGGGTGGCCTCAGGGACATGGACCAGGTGGCACCGGGGCAGAGCCGCGTCTCACAGAGCGGATCCATTTCTCTTCCAGGTAAAACAAACTCTGCCCGGGGAGGCGGCGGCGGACGCCAGACCCAGGAAAATAACGGTACTTGGTCATCTAAGCCTCAGAAAGCAGGGGCGGGGTGGGGGGATGGGGGTTGTTTTCCACCCGTGGCCCTCGCTCTGCTGAGGCAGGACTCCGCCCTGCTTAGCCGCTGGGAGGGACCACGGGACAAAGAGCCGCCTCCCAGAGGCCCTGGTGCAGGGACAGGACCCCTGTCGCTGGGGGTGCAGGAGGGGGTGGGGGAGGGGGAGGCCCATCAGAGCAAATGGCCACAGAGTGAGGGGCCGCTTACCCAGGGGTCGCAGGTGAACGAGACCCAGGCTCTGGGCAGCCCAGGGTTCCATTTTCGTTCCGCCCTTTTACTGCTGTGTGCCCTCCAGGAAGTCACTCGCCCTCTCTGTGCAGGGCCAAGTGCTCTGGACCTTCTCACTGTGAATCCCCTTTCCAGGCCCTGATTTGAACTGCGGTTTGGGTCACCATGGTAACCGATTCTGCTTTGTGTCCCAGGGCCTGGAGGTTCCTTTGCATAAACCACAATTAAGACTTTGCCTTTGTTGTTAACTGTCATCTGACGATATTTTTCTACTGATGCTTGGGGGGGTGGGGGGGGCGGGGAGAGAAGGAGAGAGAGAGAACCCCTAACCCAAACATCCCCGGCTGATTAAAGCTGCAACCCAGCCACCTGCCGGGACCGGGAATCCAGCCCGGGACCCTTCGGTGCCTGGGCCGAAGCGCTACCCGCTGGGCCACGCTGGCCAGGGCGGACCTGAGCTTGCAGGCTTCACAGAACAGCTTTCCCAGCTCCGGAAATGAACCCCATAACGAAGGCTTTGAATCGAGTGTTACCCCGTCCCGGGTGGGATCTAGGGTCTCCTGGCCTGGACATTCCTGGAGGCCATAGAGCAGTGGTTCTCAACCTTCCTAATGCCGCGACCCTTTCATACAGTTCCTCATGTTGTGGTGACCTCCAACCATAACATTATTGTCGTTGCTACTTCATAACTGTCATGTTGCTACTGTTATGAATCGTCATGTAAATATCTGATATGCAGGATGTATTTTCATTGTTACAAATTGAACATAATTAAAGCATCGTGATTAATCACAAAAACAATATGTAATTATATATGTGTTTTCCGATGGTCTTAGGTGACCCCTGTGAAAGGGTCATTTGACCCCCAAAGGGGTCGCGACCCTCAGGTTGAGAACCGCTG